ATGGAGTATACTTTGCTGGAGGGTGGACAGGCAGACAATGGTGGTCCTGAGGAAATTGATTGTTTGATAAATATGACTGATTTATTGTTATTATATGTACTTACCGTATATTTATAGATATTGCAGTTATAAGAGCTAAAATTTATTTCCAAATGTTTTTTATTCTTTCTACTAACTTGTCAAAACATTTTTATTTCTCTTTTATTATATATTAATTTATCCTATTTACTCACTATAAAAGTTTTCACTCAGTCTGTTTCACTTTCAAGGCCACATCATTTTCTGCAGGATGGTGTTTGTAGAACAGACATAGCTTCTTCCCATAACAAATCAGATTCTTTCCCAAGGTTTATTCATAACATGTTACTGTTTAACCAAAGTGTCTGTAATTTGTTTTGACTCTGACTATTTTCCATTGTTGTTAGTAAAGGGGGACGAACGCTGCCCAGATCAGAACAGAGCAGAATTCTATGCCATAAGGACTGAATGATGAACTGTTCTCTTTTTGCAAAGATATGAATAAATGTGCCGACTGAGTGAAATCCATGGATCTCTCTTTAATTAACTAGGATGAATAGTTGAATACTTTTTTCCCACGACAATGTAAAGGCTTTTAGAAAAGGCTTCAGAAGAATTGTGGAGTGGTCTTATTCAAAAGAATCTTCAAATGCCGCTGACATATAGGATCTTCACAGAATGGCATTTAACTTGTTTACCGTCGAGCATGGATAAAGGAAATGTTACTGATGCCCACTAATGTAAGTACCAGAGGACCTTATTGGAAGTGTTAAAGTCAAAGTGCTGCTGGCAACATTAGCACATGCTAAGAGTAGCAGGCCCATTAGCTGAACACTGGCATTGGTGTTAAGGACAATTAGTAGCAGTCAGTAACGTCATGTGTCAGGCAGGTTTCCATTGGACCTGTGTGCTTGTATTTACCCCAGATGGGACTCGAACCCACAACCCCTGGCTTAGGAGGCCAGTGTTTGTGGGTTCGAGTCCCATCTGGGG